AGTAAAAGGGTGGAACTGCAATTGACCCGAAGGATTTCAAGCGGAAATTGAATTTTGCAGGTAAACAAGTGGGAATAGGGTTTTTGATCTAATTTCCGTCCTACTAAGCACAACCCGCGCTTTATCTCTCTTTTCTGAACGAGTTTAAACAAAAAATGGAATATTTCCATCAAAGATGACTTGCAAATTTATTCACCTTTCCATACGTACCGTTGGATTTGATAAAGAGTCACATATTGATGAGATATTGTCTAAAATCTAGCACTGCTTCTTGCTTCTAAATTCGTTCTACGAGTTTCAATTCCGTCCTAACGCATTGAAACGCCATTAGATTTTCTTCGTCCTATGGATAAACGTAGAAAAAGGGGATTCGCTAGGAGCGCTTCTTTTGTTTTGAGAACAATGAGCGTAAATATTCATATAATGCGCTCTAACAGGATTTATGTTGTAGCTAATGAACTAACGCATCGGAACAAACCCATTATTGATTTGTGCACGGTGAAATCATTGATATTATTGATCTTTTCTGATCGATAGAACGGAAATGGGCGATTACGACGAAGTAGCGCTCTACCCTAGGGCTCGTGCAAAATGTGATGGGCCGTGTACGAAGAAAAGTTCGAGCAATGGGCTATGGTAAGAAGGTAGACTGGAACAATGGTCTTACAATAAGCATTATACCTACTAGTGTATAGCTGTTACATTGAACTATGAAAATAAAACGCAAAAAAAAGAGATATTGATTATAGCAAATCCTTAATACAAAGAGAGGTTTTTTCGTTCGGCATATTTTCATCCATTTCTCTGTAGTTTTTTGAATATTTCTAAATCATTTTTGAAACGTTACATATTAAGATCATTGTTTAAGGGTACTTTCAGTCGTGGTCTTTAAATGTTCATACAAACCAGCCAACTTTGGCATGTTGCAACTATATTTTATTATGATCAATTGAGCTGAAATTTTACACAAAACTACAAATATGCTGAATTTTGCGTGTACGTAATATACAATTATTGGAAGCGCTTGCCGGAAATTGACGGGCTGGTTGAAAGTGGCCAACTAATTAGCACATTTATATTCGAAATTTCCGAAGTGTTATAGTTTTAAAATTTATAGCTGCTCATGCCACAGTTGGCTAGTTCCCTCCCCATGGACATGGAGATTGACGGTACTGAAGCAAAGGGTTATGTTTAATTTCTTTATATTTGCAACGATGATGATATCCCATAGTGACACATATCACCTTCTTAATGCTTCAGTATGCCTCAAACGATTAATTCTTGGTTGTTAATAGAACTTCCTTGATGAAATCGGCTGCTTCATGCAGACTGAGCAATTCTGATTATAGTATTAGATTTGTTCTGTATACAGAGGAACTGGGAGGGCTTATTAGAAACTTCTCACCAATAAAATAATGATCTTCTAGTAAATTTTGCATATCATTTTATTAAAATTTTATTTTATTTTAGCATATTATTTTTGTTACAGTCAATTGGCATTAGCATACGATAGAAATGATTTAATATTACTTGCTCGTTTTTGTGTAAAATAATCAATAATACCTTTGAAAGTTTTTTCAAGTTTTTGTGATCTGATAGATTTCCCAGTTTGGTTAGAAGTTTCGAAGCTAACGCATGTCCACAGGCATAATAGAAAGATAGGCAGAACAAGTGTATCATGAAGAATGGTTGCATGCAAGGTTGCTTCCACTCACTTGCTATAGATGAGTGATTTTCGGAGTTTTGAATTCGTTAGATGTTGTAATGGGGATTTGTGTTTGTTGGATACGGGAGGAGATTAGAAGGCGGGGGTTTGACGCATGGAGCCGTCAATTTCGCTATCAGAGTGTCGCAGTCGGCGGTTTTATGATTCGTGAGCGCTCGCGATTCGTAGAATCGTTGATTGTGGCTACGAGTGGATTTGACGGATTTTGTGTGTCGGACACTTGCCTTTTGGCCTATTCTTGTGTCTAGCATGCGCAAAGTATCATTATAGCGTCTAATGGTTTTCAGATTCCTGGTTGCGTAAAATACATTTGTGAGAATTTCTTTTGAGATTTTAGTAGTTTTGTAGTTTATATTTTATTTATTTCATGTAATTATCGTAAATAATAGTTATTCAATAATAGATAATTCATCCATATATTCAATGATAAATTTACGAATGACTATAATTTGGATACCTAACAATTGGACAGAATCACTAGCAATAATTGGTTGCGGAGTGTTCGCCTTCGAAAATATCGAAAGACATTAAATTGGAGGTGGATTCTTATGCGGAATTACAGGCTGCTGTTTTGAGCAACTTATCGCCATAAAATTAAAAATTACGTTTAGGTATTAGTCAACAAATGTGGATAGTAAGTTAGATATGTTATGGTATAAACTTTTTTTTTTTTGAGCGCAGGTAATACTAGGAGATGAGGAAGAAATATAATCATTTGGTGCAAAAACACACACACACACACACACACACACACACTGATACACAAACACATCATGACCTTAGACAAGAAAACCATCCAGACATTAAAAATGACGTACGAATGAGAAGAAGACATAGACAGCCCAGCGATTACCAAACCATAAAGATTTTCAAGAAGATTATGATTAATTAAGATCGTGAATCCGGTGTTTAATTGGTCACCATAGACTAATCCGTCCGGCATCGTAGTCACTTGAAAAATTTTCTCATCAACCCCGATCATTGCAATCCTATCAGGATAAAAAAAAAGTTGCTACATGCCACAGTTGGCTAGTTTGTATGAAAATCGGCCTATTGTGCTAATTTAAAGGCCACAACTGTAAGTGCACTGTATGTGCGGTTTTCAAATACATAGGATTTTTGATGTAAAATTTAAGTGTACCTATATTGCCCCGGGTGGCGATCTTGCCCCACCCTGCCCTATACATTTTTTTATTTTCTTCAGTTGATGCATCTATCCATCGGAATTTGAAACAACTACTGCAAGGGGCTGTAAAGTTGACCCACCATAATATTTATGCAAAAGCGAAAAATCAAACATAACATTTTTCTTCATAGCAGCGTCATACGTAGTGGTACAGTACGAAACGAAAATCAATTATTTTATTCATGTTTCACTTATACATTTTTGCCAAGACATCAGCCATATACATTCCATAAGACAAACCACATAGGTCATATAAGAATGCATTAAAGGTATGTGTGATCGCTTATGCATTTCATTTGACACATGATCTTCATTAACTTTTTGCAAGACGTCTGCTTATTAGTTCACTTATACATTTTTTGAATAATCAGCAATAGAAATTTGCCAAAAGGTATAAGGAGATTCCTATCCGTGTAGGTAGGGAAAAGTAGGCATGATGATTCTTAAATTCTCGATTACTTTTTCAAAGGGACGTATCAATGGCGTCAGTTAACCTCATTTTTTACCTGTTTACCGACGGCGCTGGGACGTATTTGCTTTTGTAAACAAAGATTCAAACATCAATAAGTCGAAACTCTGACCACTCCCACTTAAACTAATACCACCATCAGAGAGAGTAATGTTTCCCCAACAAGATATTATTGTTAGTTTGCGTGGGAGTTCTAAGAGTTTCGACAAATTGATATGTTGAATCTTTGATCACAAAAGCAGATACGTCTCTTTGAAAAAGTAATCGAGAATTGCTCAAAACAACTTAATTTATAGTAGGTTCAATATCAATATAATATTAAATCTAAACCAACAATTAATTTGTTTTTTAAGAATTAGAAATTTAAGACTAAAGTAAAAGATGCTCATTTTGTCCCAACTGTTCACTATGCCCCTCCTACCCCCGACTTGCAAATCAAAATATCCAAAACCATTTATTAAAAGTAGGTATAAACCTTTTTCTTTTCTTCAGTTGATGCATCTATCCATCAGTATTTGTAAAACTGGAACAATGTTCGTTATCGTTTAATGGAAGCGATTAGCTTCCAGTTTCGCTGGAAAAAGTGCAAGGTCGTGCGGTTTTAGCACTAGCTACACTTCTCTATTCAGATCTCGGGCCGAAGATTGAAAGCGCTCTGTCTTGCGTCTGATTGAAATGGCAGAGTGTTGGTGTGAATATATTAAAGGTACGTAGGTATATGGCAACTTTCTTTGTTGTCTCCCAAGTACTAATGACGTTGTATGATCTGTGCCACATACGTTTATTTATTCGGCTAGGTTGCAATTTCTTTATGCAATAATTGATATGTCGATACTGGTTGTCCATTTAGCACTGAAAACGTAAACTTTGTTGCTTTCTTCCAAAACTGTATTAGGGCAGGAACCAATCGACAAACTAAGGGACTAGCCATAAATGACGTTGCATATTTTGGTCAATTTAGAAACCCACCTCCCCCGTATTTTGCTATACCTAATATATGGCTCGTCACAACTTCTGAACTACTCCCTTGAAATGCTTCGTCATTTATACATGTTCCCTAATTAATCTTCTTCACTTCATCGATGAAGCGTGGGAGAAAGTGAAAATATTTTTATTTCAGCAAGTAAACGGTTGAGTCTGCCACAACGTTGGGTGTCTCGTTCAACTTCAAGCTTGTTCAACTGGGTTTGATTTGAGAAGGTGATAACAGATTGTGATACATACTGAGCATATCTGCACGCTATAACTGTTTATTAGGTGTGAGTTAAATGTTTATAGTTCCTAATATTTTATCTATTCTTAAATTTCATTTTGAAAATCAACAAATCAAACTGTTGTGAAATTATATTATATGTGTTTAGTCATGGTGTGAAGATTGTGTAATTTTTCTAGTACTTACAATTAACAGTCAGAGTACCATGACTGCAAACTGCGTGGTACAGCACGACTACAGTCGAGAAGCGAGCTTGCTCAGAGCATCGCTACCGTGAAAAGACCTAAAAGGGCAAATCAAATAATTACAATTATATAAATTTATGTTAATTGATATTATAATATTATTACATGATGTATCTACCCTATAATTTAATGTATCTATATTTTTTTCTTTGTAATTTTAGCGACATTATCACTGACACCAAAGCCACAGGAACTCCATCGCTGCACTGTTTACCTGAAATTGCTTATTGCATCTCAGGTATCAAAATCCTTAGTACTGCCATCTAACCGAAGCAAGGGCCGCCAACAAATAGAAGTATAAGGCGACACTGGGCGCGACAAATCAAGACTGGTTGAGGTGCGCAACAGGCTTCCACACTTTTTCGCTGATGAAGATTCTCTGGCAGCATGAATGCATTGGGGGGAACTAGGGGGGAGCGAAATGCAAAGCCCAAATTCGCAGCGTTAGATATCAACAAGCTCTACAGCACAAGTCGGGTAAGTAGCGAATAGGGCAACTGTTTGAAAGTAACTCGTTAATTTGGATAATATTCTTCTACCCACAGGGAGAATCTCTTGAACCATCCACTCAGAAAAGTGCAGCTCCTCGTAAACATGGAATGCAAAGTTTGGGAAAGGTTCCCTCGGCTCGTCGACCACCAGCAAACCTTCCGTCTCTGAAAGCTGAAATCTCTGTACCATCGGATCAGCAAGGAACCTGGATTAACGAGGCAGGAGACAACCAAAATAACAATTCTAGTATTACCACAACATCAGTAGCATCAGCAGCAGCAGCAGCCAGCGGAAGCAGCACAAACAACAACGCCTCGGTTGGTGCCGGAGGTGTTCACAATACTTCACACGTCAGCAATCAGCAGATTCCTCATTCGAACGCTTCATCCTCTTCACAATGGAGTTCGGTATGTATTTTTGTTTCTTTTTGCGATGCTTGTTTATTGGCCTTTTCCTTTTTTCGTTGTACCTGCTTATCCAATTTCATATCGAGGGTTGGGAAACCGATGGTTAGCCAATACTACATTAGCATTTTAAACTACGTATTAAATTCAACCGTTGCACATAATGTTTAATTACTTACTTAAGTATCAAGGGCATCTTCAGTGGTGCAAAGCGACAACGTAAAAGGCTTCGATCGTGGGCGGCTGCTTGCTTTTGCTCTGAACTGGGCCCAGGTCAAATTCTTATCGAATTGCTAGATTTGCTCGCTGAGGCTCCACCTCCATAAACCCTTGGGTCTGTTTCTGCTGCGATGTACTGCCGGGTTCCAATCCAGTGCTTGCTTGCAGATTTTTTACCCACCCCTTCGTAGTGTGTGGCTGACGTTCTGGATTTTTTGTTGATATCGGCTTCGACGATGGAGATCAGCATTAGAGATCTAGTTGTGAGGCCACCAGGCACAAATTATATACCATAGGCAACGGTTGATGATGGCTGGAAGCGGTTTTTTTTTCTTTTCTTTTTTTCTTTAATTTGTTTTCCGTCGATTTTGTTTTCCGTACTGAGTACCAATGCTATCGACGCCAAGGAGGCAGCTCCCACACCTGGTCCCTACTTATCGACCCATCAACTCATTCCCCGGTTCATCCAACGGTTTTACTTCCCGTGATCAGAGATGTTATGCCTCAGAACATCCCGGCGGCGCCGACTGGGATTGAACCCAGGCCTTTTGGCATGAGAGGCAATCACGTTAGTATCCAGGAAAATAGTGACTTAGTAACCAAATAGTTTAAAAAAATTGAATAAAACTGGCTGTTGTTCATAAACAACGTATACCGTTTTTAAGACGTTTTAGACAATCGCTCGTACAGTTTATTTTTTATTTTTATTTTATGGACCGTAGGCAATCGCCTCAATCGATCAATTCAGCCTAGTGCCCTTCCAATAATTTACATGTAGCTTAGATATCACAAATTCCGAAACTTTTAAGAATATTTCAAATTTCGGACTTCATAACATTTGCTAATCTATGGGGCAAAATTTGCAATCTTGAAACTAATTAGGCTTTCAAAATTTGGAAACAATTTTTCATTTTCAATAGAGGGGTGGTGGAGAGAACTTTTCTCCGGTTTTTTTGCATTTAACATAAAATGCAGTAACATTTTTGTTCAGTGAAATCAATTGCGAAAATTCCTTTTTTTGTTATTTTGCATAGGGCCAACGTGAAAGATTTCCATCCTGGGCGGCAGCTCGTTTTAGCCATGACCTTGGCTCAGGTCAGATTCATGTCGACTTACTTTATTTCCTTGTTGAGTCTCACTGCCATGAGCCCCTGTGACTGCGTCTGCTGCAACGTCCTGTCGGGTTTGAATTCAGCGCTTGCTTGCAGATTTCGTTTCCGCCCCTTCCTAGTGTGTGGACGATCCACCTCCATTTACGCTCCCGATTACACGTTTGAATTCAAAATTCGGATTTTGGTGCGTTCACTTTTCTGGTTAGATCTCCATACATTTTGTTAACTCGCAAAAGCAGCACTAGCCTTCTTGATTCGTGCACATATGACGCTATCTGGGTGCCAAGATATTGGAAACATTCGACTTTCTCCACTGCTTGCCCCGCTACCGTGAAGTTGGAAGGGCTGTGCGTGATGACATCCTACGGCTTTATCTTTTTGACGTTGATGATGAGATCCATCGCACTTACTCTGCATGTCAGCACCGTGTTGTCGTTGAAGTGCTCAATAGTGATAGGCTTCCAAAGCAGTTTGAATACCAAGTAGATGGCTCTTGGAATTCGTTGACGTGCTCCAGGATGATGCAGAGCGTGAGGCATAGAAACCTGCTAGAGAGTCGCGTCGATCTTCTCCTGTATCCAATTCAGCACAGAACTGTGAGAACAAAACACAGTCAGATCCCCCTTCTGAGGGGCCTTCACTAAGACGCCCTGCATCCATGAATGTTTCTTCCGAGCATGAAAAGTTCTATTATCCACCTATGATAACTACTTATTTAAGATCCAGTACAGCGTAAAACAAAACCCATCGTGCTTCTGGGATTTCGTGAAGAAACGGCATGCATTTACTCGCAAGCCATGCAACGTTAGCTTTAATTAGGCCTTGACTAATACAAATGTGGATGCCGCAAACCTTTTTGCCATGCTCTTCAAAAGCGTATTTAGCAAAGTGTCACATGTACCAAGGCGCGACTGTTTTGCTCACATTCATTCGCAGAACATCAACCTACCAGTTATTCAGTTTTCTGTAAAAGAAGTAGTAGAATTCATCGATGACCTTGACATCAAAAAAGGTCTTGGGCCGGAAGGTATAACACCCCTCTTTCTGAAAAACTTTTCCAGAGAAGTAGCGAACCCAATTGCACGCTTATTCAACCGATCGCTGCATGAAAGAACCTTTCCGACGGCTTGGAAAGCTGCTTATATCGTTCCTATTCACAAGTATGGCAACTGTAATCAGGTGACCCATTATCGCGGCGTATCTATACTTTGCTGTCTCAGCTAAGTGTTTGAAAGACTGGTGCACAACGTTATATACAACGTGGCGTCTCCTATAATTTGTTACGTCACCTCACTGTCCCGCGAAGTAGAAGAGAGGCGGCAGGTTGACGCGGTCGACACTATACCGCACATTCGATCGGGGAGAAACTGAAGCACATAGATTGGATTACAGAGTTTATATATTCGTACTTGTGCGATCGTACCGCATATGTTGCGGTCGACTCGGCTCGATCCCGCACTATCAACATCCCGTCTGGTATACCCCAAGGAAGCGTTCTTGGACAACTAATATTCAACATTTTTATAAATGACCTGTGTTTGCTACTTTCCTCGTTCAAGCTTTCATTCGCTGATGACCTAAAAATCTATCGTTTCATAGCTAGTGCTGTACCGAATATTCGGCCGAATTTAAAGCCTAACAAAATTTCACTCAAACGTTTTATCGGCAACTCATAAAACGACATATTCGGTGGAGCTCTAGTCATAGATTCTCGTCTGGATCGTACTGCCCTACAAGAAGATATTGATACTATGCTGGTATGGTGTGGCGATAATGGCATGCGGATTAATTGCAAGAAGTACAAAATTATTACCTTCGAGCTCTGCAATAATCCCATTCTTCATCAATACAGGATGAAAACACCATCATTAGAACATGTGTCGTCCATCTGTGACCTCGAAGTTACCATCGACTCGAAGTTCAGGTGCAACGAACACGTGAGCATTACGACTGCCAAAGCTTTGTGTGTGCTGAGATCAGTGCGGTAAAACTTCAAACTCAAACGAAAATAAACCACGAAAATGAGAAAGGCAACCTTTCATTATCAACACACCATGGATTAATCATTTGAGCTTCGTTAACATCTTCAATTGAGTCATGAAAGGTTCATTGTCAAACGAGAAACCCCTTCTTGTCGTTTGATTCATTAGTCATTTACATGCAATTGAAAACAAACCTGCCTCCTTCATTGACTCAGCTTGTGGTAGTGAACCATGAAATCGGTTCATTCGCTGTCAAATTTACATAAATGAACAGCGTCACGATAGTTGACAACAGGTCCGACTATGTAAACTGTCATCTCTTTCATCCCTATATGTCGTCAAAAGAAGCTTCGAGTTTGACGTCATATGTGCTGCTGTGTAAGTAAATCCGAAGAATGAAAGAAACATGAAATACATTTTGTCAAACCTGTATTTCATTCATTGACGCAAAGCAGTACACAAGAAACGAAAACAAAAACAATCGTATCAAAACAAAACGTCGATTTGCAAGCAGCTGAAAGTTTTGCAATTTGGTTGTATTTTGAGAGGTATTTTCTGCAATGTAATATAATACTGATTCTTCTATTAATTCTACTCACATTTTCAAATTACGGCAGAGAGCAATTATAAATCCGTTTCGTTTCGTCTGGCAAAGTTTTGCACACATTCATCCCAAATGATACTGCGTACTGTAGTGCTCCAAAATTACCGAAGGTATGATGTGGAACTTGTGGATCACTAAAGGATTTGCATGCAGAGCACCATTAAAAGCGATAAAACCATGCATCTGACATTGCGAGTGTTGCGAAGATTTCATCCAGCCAGAAATACATGCTGTGTTACGGATCCTGTTTTCTTGCTCTGCACTAACTGTTGGATAACGCGGATAAATTGAGGAGATAACAGTAAAGGAGAGTGTCCATACTTGATTCGAGGGGAGACTTGACCCTCATGATGGTTGTTCTCCCGAGCAAAGTCTGAGATCAAATTGAAATCTAAATTTGATGTTGTGATTTCGCTGATAATGATTACTCAGGTTGCTGTCGTTTTGGTCGTTTTAACGGTTAAAATATCAAAATTGAGAGCAAAAAATCTTCCTGTGACATCACATTGAAAACAATTTCTGCTATCAGTGAGAGCAAACTGAAAACTCAATTTGATATCAATTTTTCCTGTTGATAACAAAACAAGTATTCAATTTGATGTTATGATAAGGCATGAAAACAAACCCGCAACAACATATTTTTGAAGAGCAAATGTACAGCAAAATGAAAACAAAATTAGTCAATTGCATAAACTGAAATCAAATTAAGATTTCAGTTTGATGTTGATATCAAAACTTGATTTCAAATTGCTGTCATTTTGATGCTGTACTTTGCTCGGGCTGTAAATCTGGTGTATGCAGTAACAGAATCCAACTAGCTCAAATCTAGATTCAGCTAGAAAAATGGCCTAGAAGCTTTTGTAAACAAAGACTTCTCTCGATGATGCCTAGGAATTCGAGACACTCCCACGCAAACCAACATAACACCTGGGTTGGGGGCAGTCTTTCCCTACCCAATGGTTATGTGGGTTTACGTGGGTGAGTTTTTAGTTTCTGGAAATCATCTAGAGAAGGCATTGTTTTCAAAAACTGTTAGGCCCTTTTTCCAGTTCTACAGAAATAAACAAAACTTTTTAGCATTGGCTA